GACCCACCTACTGACATGTATTTCGGCCCAATGAATCCGAATCTGAGGTCCGTTTGACACGTACAGTAAATTATGAAAAACCGAAAAAATAATTAATAATAATTTACTCGAAATTGTGGACGCGTCAAACGGGCGGTTAAAAGCGCCCGCAACTTTTTTTTGTGGGCCGGTGCTATTATTCCGTGAGTCGCAGGTTCAAATATCGGCACATTCCGAACGAAAAATGACACTGAAGATGGCACAACGCCGAAACCGGCTTTGTCTCCAAACCAAATTTGGCAAGGGATGACCGAAAATCGTTCCACATTACATTATACTCCTACCCTGTCGGAAACACCAACAACGAAAATTAGAAAATCGGCGCATGCAGTAATTAGTTGATAGAAAAATATTTTCTAATAAAAAAAAACATTATAATTGTCAATAGGATTTTCAATCTTGATAATTTATTAACATAATTTATTAAGAAATTTTAGCTTCTGTGCTAGAACTGGGAGTTCTTGATAAATAATCAAAAATTGGCAAATTATAAAAATATTGAATTTATTAAATAAGTGAATCTGGCTGTAAGTATATACACATTTGTTATGAAATATAGCAGTTTTATTCAGTATATTTTTTCTCAGTGAAGATGTGAAGATTTTGGTAGTGAAGATTTGGTAACTTTTGGTAACTTTTCTTGAGGGATTTTGGTAGAAAAAAATTTTGGCAAGCGGCAACCATGTTCGGAGTGCAGCATACTATTTCTACGATTCGTAGCAAAATCCGAATACGAAAGAGTTGCAGAATAGGGGTGTTTATTTGTATCTCTATGCTTGCTCTTCACATTCTTTTTTTACATTTGGTTAATTTCTAAGAAAACAACATGGCGACGAAATGACAAACGTCAGTCAGAAAATTACTTTTTTCATTTGCTTCATCTTGTCAGATCTTGTGTAGTTGGATCATGAGATTGCGCCCATCGCGGTACCGCTAGTCCGCTCTTTGTGAATCTGACAGAAGCAGCTGTGTGCGTGATTTGGTACAATTGTTGATTGAGGAAGACCACATAACAATTTAACTGGGTACGGTTTAGTTATTTGCTTAATGATTTCGGGCTGTTGTGTCCGAATGGGTGACCCGATCCAAAAAAATTTACACACACTTGTAGTAAAGGGTCTACACTTTATTGTAAAACATAACTTTGTAATTCACTAATTTATTAATAACTTCGGTATGAAAAATGCAATTTTTTGTGGATTTCCGAGTGAGTTCTACGCAAATATACTGTGGATGGCGTAGCCGGAGTTATATGCACAATAAATGTTGAACACTTTTGACAACAGAAAGGTGTTTTGCACAAAAATACTGTTTATAGAGTTTACATTTCCGGTGTCGAAATGTAAATTTTAGTCCATTTTCCAATGGTTCCCCAGGGGTATGTGGAAGGTTCCAAGGGATCAGGTGTGACTTTTTGCAAAGTGTGAACTGTGCTCTTTCTAGTGGGTTGGATATCATGACCCGCGCCCCCTCCTCCTCCGCCCCCCCTCCTCCTCCGCCCCCTCCTCCTCCGCCCACTAACCCAAAAACCGTGGGCAAATAACTAAACATTTCCAATTTAACTATTTGTAAGTTAATATTTCACCGTAGTTTTACACAATTATTGAAACCATTATAAGGCAAAATAAAGTCTGCAGTGGCAAATTGTAAAAGAAACAAGTAATTTTTAGCAAACAAAATAACCGACTTCAACTCTCATACAAAAAAAAA